AAGACCGTTCACCTTTCCACTCGATCATGCCACGAGTGTCAACGACACAAGAAACTGCCGACGAAGCCGTCAGGACTTCTGCATCCGATTTCTCCCCCATCCACGCCGTTCCAGCAGATCGGAATAAATTTACTTGGCCCTTTCCCACTGTCAACATCGGGAAACCGCTCGATGGTTGTCGCTACAGATCTTCTCACACGCTACTCCGAGACGAAAGCCCTTCCATCCGGTACGGTTGTTGAAGTCACCAAGTTTTTCATCGAGTCCATTGTCCTCCGGCACGGCGCCCCCAAATGTCTCATCACAGACCGTGGATCATCGTTCATAAGCCAGCTGACACAAGAGATCCTTCGTGTCAGTGGCACCGGCCACGGTCGAACCACCGCGTACCATCCGCAGAGAAATGAACTAATAGAACAGCGAAACAAAACTATAGCAGAAATGATCTCCATGTATGCGTTCGTAGAGCACAAGACTTGGGACGAGGTGCTACCCTACGTCACGTTTGCTTACAACACGGCGGTGCAAGATACCACAGGAGTAATCCCGTTTCAGCTGGTGCATGGTAGAAAAGTAACAACCACGCTCGACGCAAAGATACCCTACACACCATCTGACGTTGGGATCCCCGACTCCCAGGTGGTTTCTCAACGAGCCGAAGAAGAAGCTGCGTGATCGTTAGTGATAACGGCAAACGTAGGCTGAAACTCGCAATTAATGCTTTATTTAATCAAAATTGACAAACAAGCCCTCGGGCTTAACTGCGATTGATAAAAAATGAACATTCGTAGAAAGGCCATCTGAAAACGTCGGTATGTTCCGTGTACCACGCGTCAGAAAGCACAAGAATCTCAAAATCAGAAAGCTGCGCAAAAGAAAAAAAAAAACACTTAAGATTAACACTTTCATTTTAGCTAATCAAATATTAATATGTAAACAGCGATTTGATCAAGAAAACTCTTTTCCATTACAAGCTTCAAACTGAGAAGCAAACTCTCCCCAAGTACAGACTGGAACAGGAGAAGTCCCAAAACCACATCTATCCCATCCCCTGCGCGGAATGCCCTGCCGCCTACGTGGGGCAAGCAAAGAACCTCCCGTATCGCTTCCGCCGCCACAAACACGCCGTAAAGAATTACGACGTTCAAGCCAGAGCCCTCACTGAACACCCAGCAAAACTGGGTCAGAGCCTGTCCCTTGACAAAAGCTAGATCCTCGACACGGAACGACACTGGTGTAAACGTTTGCACGTATAATCCTAGTACACTCAGAAAATAAAAGGTAACATCAACAGGTCGTCTGATACTTTCCCAAGCGTCTGTGTGTCAGGGCTCCGTCGTTTCGTGGAAAAACCCGAATGCAGCAATCCCTACCGGCCTCCGTAAGCGGCTTCCCCCTCCGTCCAACCTACACTCACCCGTGAACAAGGGACCGAGCGTGGCCCGAAACGTCGCCGAATTTAGTTTTATTTCACTTTGGTTAGAGTTTCGAATTTCAGTTAGTCTATCTTCTTGTAGGTCCGTTTAATTGGCTTCGAAATCACCCTGTATGACAGGATAAATGCAGGTTGTTTTAAGGGTCCAGGATATTCGAAGCTTTGATATCACTAAACCTGGTTTTCTTCAGATATTTTAGGTTGAACGAAGTTGAGCGCAGTGCGACTCTGGTAATATAGAAGCACGTTCCTAGCCTCTAGGTCTGTAATGCTATACTTCGTTTCAACGTGGCTCGGTTAAAGGACAACTACGGTTTCCACACTCTAAGAAAATGGTTTTCTACATGCTACCTATGGGTGGTAAAACGTTGTCGCAAATAAAAAGGCCCTACACTCTAAAAAAAGTCTGTGCGTCTACTTTCACGCACAACACTCGGAGAGCCAATCAGCGCAACTTACGGAGGCAGCACAGCGAATGACGATGCCGAAACATATGCTTAGACCAAAAAACGCAGTCTGAGTTGTGACATTAAGCAGTGCAAAACGTCACGGTTGCATTGCTTAATGTAGCGACTCAGTCTGCATTTTTTGGTCTAAACAGATGTTTCGGCATCGTCATTCGCTGAGCTGCCTCCGAAAGCTGCGCTGATTGGTTCTCCGAGTTTTGTGCGTGAAACTAGACGCACAGACTTTTTTTAGAGTGTAGGGTAAAAATGACAGCCCCACAAATAACAATTGATGAGGCTACGGATAAGTGCAGGAAACTAGACGTTTAATAAAGTTAACATGTGCCCCCCCCCCCTCTTCCAAAAAAAATAAGAAAAGTGAAGGTTAGCGTCGCAGGCGTTGATGCAGCGTAACAGCACGATCGTGAGCTGCCACGCGGAGTCCCTTTTGTACACGCGTGGGCTTCTTGAATCATCGGCGCAGAAAATTTGGCGCGTAGAACATTCTGACCTCAAGTAAGCAACAAAGTTCTCCAATTTACTAGAACGCGGCGCAAGAAGTTTTTGCAGATTCTGTTAGTACCTGTCATTGGCCTTAAAGAGGCACCGAGACATCAAAATCAGATTTTAATTATGATCCCAAAACGATTGAAAACGATGCCGGGACATTACCCTCCAATTTCGAAACTTAGGAATTCAGTATTTGTGAAATGAAAAAAATTGTATTGGCTTAGCTCGGCTATGCCAGGATATACGTAGCGTGAGCTTATGCGCACAAGATGAGAGGCGCTATCAAGCGGCTCCGGTGCAGCGTCAGACTTGGCTACTGCGGAACGGAGGCGCACATCTGGGCACGCGGCGGCGCCAGTGCGTCTGCCCCGGCTATGACGTCACTCCTCTCGAATGCGGAGACCGGCGAAGCGGGCGCGGCGGCGGTGGAGCGCGCGGCGGCGGTGGCTCCGGCGCTCCAGCTGTGCGCCATGTGACGTCACTGCTCCTCGCGCATGCGCAGCACGAAGCAGGGCTCATTATGCGAGCCACGCAAAACTGCTCAACCTCGGCCAGAACAATTTCCAAAGGCCGATTTGAAGTTCCCGCGCGATCCGCGCCTGCGCGGTGATGTCAAAACTTGCGGTGCTCTGCGAGTCGACTTTCGTTCATTCCGCCGCTCCAAACGTTGCCAAACCGCCGTTGCCTCCGCGACGCGCGAAGCGAGGAGTTCAGGAGCGGGAGAGAAGGGCGCCGGCGGACCGGGGAAAACCGGTTGTGTGCCGTGTCGCGTGCCTATCGCGTCGAGTAGACGACCCTTGACGTCTGAAACGCTGCCCCGGCGGAGTCACAACCGAAAGTACGATACAGTCATCAAACTCGGTTGTTTTGAACGTTTGACGATTTTGTTTTCGAAGTCTGAGAGGTCGTCGGGCATCTAAAAAAGACCACTTCATCCGATTCCCCGACTCACCGATCATCCTTTGCTATGTGCGTCGAGCGGCGCCATGTGTTCCGAGGGAGGATACAAATCCAGAAGGCGACATCACACCGGACTCCGATTTTTGACATTTCAAAAAGAAAGGCCGTAGTGCCTTCGGAGTTGTGTTAGAAAACATGTTTAGCAATTTCCGTTATTGAATGTTAGAGAAATTTCGCCTACCAAGCTTCTAAATTTTATGATTTTTGATGTCACAAATCAAAAGACGCGGCGAGGTGAGGAGCGGGAGAGAAAAACGCGGAAAATAAAAAGACGCGCGCTTGGCAAAAGTTTTCTTAGCGAGTCGGCATTTTTTTTGCAAGTCTATGACTCCAACTTGGAGCGTTTTAGACAATAAAAAAACTGCCTTTGTGTTGTCAATGCTTCTTTAATGTGGAAGAGTTAAAGAAAAAATCAACCATGGACTTTTCTTTAATTCAGTTTTAAACTAACTCGTCATAATAAAAACGACTCCCTTTAACCATTTCTAATAAATTAATTTTGATGCTCAGGGCAACTATATGTAGCGCCAATATCAACCAGATACAGGACAGCACGCTGGCAAAGCTTAAAGTTCTGGTATATATTCGAGTGGAGAAAAAATTAAATCAGATTTAAATATTTTTGCGGAATGTGCCATGTTTGCGATTTTTTTTTAGAAAATAACAACGTCAATACGTGATCAATATATTGAGTCAATTCGTTATACCTCGTGTCTGAGTAAAAATTTCTAGACCCGCAGCCATGACAGTTTTGTTGGGAGAGGTGCTGGAATTGTAAACTTCGCGCAATCACCGGAATGCGCTTCGCACTGAGAATGTGCTTCTAATTATTTTTTTCTTTTACACAAAGACAAACAATTGTTTTGCAAAACAAATTTCGGGTTTGCTCTGCTGGGCATTGAGTCTACAAAATGTACATTTTTCGTAAAAATTAAAAATTACCACCGGACACGGTCGGCGAAACATATCTGAAAACCCCCTCTATGAACGCTCGAGATTAAGCGAGGGGCTTCAATTCAAACCGACATGTAAAGGAATAATCTGCTATGCATTGCAACCTTCACCTGAACGTTTTGTGTAGGATAGTAAGGGGTGCGCTAAAACGATTGTTCAAACAACGGGTCCATTCAACTGTGTTGAGGTTGCGTAGCTCGTAAGCAGCATGCGTAACGGTCTACAGCCATGCAGATAATAAAGAGCTCCATGCGAGCGGTCATTTTTGTTCTGAGGAGCACTGGACTGGTTGCTAACCTTGGAAGTAGCGCCGACGTCAGGACTCTTCCATGCGGAGAAGCAAGGGAGAGACCCATCATGTGCCGTTTCGAGAATCCTTTCCCCATTCTAAACATACCGCGGTGACTCAGGCACACAGGCACAGATGATAACGGCAATTCGCGTTGATGGACTCCCCACTCCCTGCTTCATATGAACGAGTCCTGACGTTAGCGCTAGTTCGAAGATACACCAGCCGTCAAGCGTTCCTCATAAAAGAAGAAGCCCGCTCGCAAGGGGCTTTTTAGTATCTGCCTAACTGTACGTAAGTGCAGCCAGAGGTTTCTCCCGTTCATCGGTGGCTTAGATATAGGAAATAACCTTGTTCTAACGCTCAAAAACGAAAGCAGCGTTCTATAGCCTCGTGGGAAGGAAATATGAGCTCACGCCACTTCGGTCTCCTGCTTATTCTCAGCATATTTTTCGGTAAGTGAACATTCCCTCTCACGATTACGAAAAAAAAAAAAAAGAGTACCTGGGCTATTAGCTAGTAAACTTAAAGCAAAATTTACCTAGAATTTTTTTTTTTTTGGGGTGGTTGAATTTTTTTCTAAATCTGAAAGATTTAGAATGTTCTGAAAAGAAATCAGAGGTCTTTTCGATAAGTCTCTAGCTAGTATCTACAAAATGCAAAGTAAAATCGGCAACTGCTAATATCTATGTCGCAAGACTGAACATGTTACCCTTTTCGACATTTCACATTTAGCCCGAACCCGCCCAACGCTAAAACCCGATGAGACGTGCAATGCCAAAAGTTTATGGTTTTGACTTTCCTCGTTTTTGTGCGTTTGAAATCACCGGCTAAATATAATCGGGCACTGATGTAAGCGCAGTATCACGCCTCATTCACCGTGCTTGATTCATTTAGAAGGTGAAGATGGAAGCGCTGCGTTACAGAATGAGAAATCTCCTTCGTCCAGGACTCATCTTCTGGAATCCGAAGTTAGCGGCAAATCTGTCATTAAAAGAAAAACAAAAAAAAACGAAAACAAAAAACCTGACGAGTATTTTTAGCACAAAGCTAAGATTGAAGCGAAAATATATAAGACTTGATCCGTTGGTATTTGAGCCCGCTCTTTGACATATGAGTTCTCAAGAAACTTATGTGTTGTTCAATACACTGCGCTGTCTCAACGCCTGAAGCCGGCTACCTAGCAAATGCCTAGCTGCTTAATAATAGGATCCACAGTGATCCCATCTGCAGTCCAGAGTAAGCCAAAATGCGTAGAAATGTAAAAAAAAAAAAAAAAAAAAAAAAACTTTCGACTTTTGTGTACAAAAGCTAAAGGACATAATTCATAGGATATCGTCGTTATGAGTTTCCCCTTTTTCGTTTTCATTGCTATATTCTGCACGTTGCTCATTAAGTGAACTTGTAGCTTGAGTACCACGTGCGAAACTTGACTACTTGAGTGCTGAAATTATGACATCAAGTTCTGAGATAATCGTTAGAGTAAATTTTATTACAGAGTTTTCTAGCGTACACATATACTACATTTAACATAATGACTGAATTCGTATAAATATTGAAAATTAGCGATGAATTTCAGATAAACACATTATATTTGTAATGCTTCCCACTTCAATTCTGTTAGGCGCTGAAATACTGGAATGGTATGCAGTGTTATCCTTTAAATCATTAAGTTATCTGAAATTCGGATTTTGGGCGAACCTGTTTTATGCTTTAAGTGGGTCTGGGCACCAATTAAAGCTTTGACACAATTAATCGTCACAATTTATTGATTAATTATTTTATTATTAGGTTGCATTGACGTCCACGCATATAATATGTAAAAAAGTGTAAAAACTACATTTCTATGGAATTATTGTGAGAGGGCAGGCGCGCTCGTGTATATTTACCATTCTTTTAAACAACAAAAAGAAATTTAATAAAAAAAAATAAAATCGTCAGTTGTTGACACAGCAGGAGTTTTGCATGCCACGCGTTGTTACTCACTGTAGATGAGCAATTTAGCCAGTGCAGTACGACTGATAGCGTGACGTCCTGAACGTGCACCAGGCAGTCGTGATACATGATCGCACGCTGGTACGATGCTCATCCAGATCTAAACAGGCAGGGTAGGAGATTGAACTTGAATTAGCCGAAACTGGGGCGAGAACCCTACAGAAAACTCAAACCGTAAAAGACAAAGGAAAAAGTGACAGGATGACAAAGTCTCATATTTCTAATTTTTCTTACTACTTATTGCTGTGACATTCGTGGTGGAATACACAGCCTCATTTAAAAACTGACCCTGTACCCCCGTAAAGAAGGCAAACCATTATTTTTTTTTAAATATTTCAAACATGTTATATAATATGTTATATATGTTATACATACTTGCAGCATGTTACAAAATTTACAACGCTCGATTATAGCCGCCTCGGTGGCTCCGAAGCGAGAGCGCCAGCCTACGGATCCCCAGTTGGCGGGTTCGAATCCCGGCCGAGGTGCCCGCAATATGACGGAGGCTTATTGCGGACAAGGCGCCGTGTAACCGAGCTTTCGGTTGCACGTCAAAAGATCCCCAGGTGGTCCAAATGAATCCTCAGTCCTCCGCCGGGGCGTGCCAGATGCCCGTCGTAGGTTTGGCAGGTAAAACCCCCAAATTTGACTTTACAACGCTCGATTACAACAAGAAATACTGAACTGGCTTTCCGTGGAACGCGATGGCGCAGCCTGCTAAAATTCATGAATATGAACCAAGTTGTAAAGCAAGCATTTTTAATTTCTCCCCATACTGTCTAACATAAAACAAAACCAATTAATTGTTTAGAAACTACTGATCACAACTAATGCATATAATGTTTAATCGGGAACTTTGCTCATCAATTATGCAGCACTAGTTTTAAGTCTTAATAAGCAATGCAAAAATGCGAGAGGTTTCATTTAGAGGTAAACATTCGACTGCATTTGCATTTTTATTTTCAATACTTTGTATTTACATTTTGCGACGTATATCGCGAGAATTAACACTTTATAACGATACATTTATTTAAAAAAAAATTAAAATTACAAAGCAACGCGAAATCACGTTGGGGTTTTAAAGATCGTGAACTGTTACATTTTTTCTCGCCTTCGATACCAAACTATGGCCGACAAATCCTCAATACAATTTACGGTAGTCTATGTATATTGTATTTTACGGTTAATAGGGAGTTTGAGTAGAACGTTTTAGTAACCCTGATAACGCCACCCGATGCTCCGTTGATGCCTTTACACAGACAACTTATTGTTATATGGTATCGGTATCGGAGGAATAACGACGATCTACTCAAACTCGTTTATAAGTAGCCCAGTTACGTAGCAGCACCCTCCTATAAACGTCAGAGAGCACAAACTATCTGCACGCAACAGTTCGGGGGGTCATCTGTCGGAGCATTGCAAGCGTTGTGGTTGCGAGCCGATTTTGGAGTCAACAACGTTCTTGCAAAAAGCGAAAGAAAAAACAGCGGGAGATTATAGAGGCTTTCTTTATTAAAAAGAAGAATGACAAGTGCATCAGGGCGCCATCTGTTAGCCTACTAGATAAAGAAGTGACCTATCTCGATGGGTGTTTGTAAGGTGTTTTATTGGCTGTTGGCGCTGTTTGAAATGTAAACGGTGGATGAGTTGTCTATAAAAGCGATGAACGGTCTAGCAATACAATCAGTTGAGAGTTGCACATTTTCCCTATCGTTTGTGTTATTTTCTGTTGTCCCTGGCTGTTTGCGCTTTTAAACCTTATATCATCTAGCAGGTTTATGCTAGCGGCTTCGATAGTTTCTCTAGTTAGTTTGTTCTAGCTTCTTCCAAGTACCGCGCAATTGTTTAGAGAGGGGAGCATCCACAATCTCTGCAATGAATGCCCAGACGACCTGAGTTAGCGTTAATGACGTTGTTGTTATGTTCTCGAAGCCTATCGTTAAGACAGCGAGCCCTCTGCCCGACGTAACGCTTCCCGCGGGCAAGAGGGAAAGAATAAATCACTCCTTCTGCACAGGAAATGAACTTGGTTTTGTGGTATTTGTTGCAGCGTTCTGGTAGAATATATGACCCATTCATCCGCTTCCATAAGCTGGAAAGTTTTTGCGGAGCAGAGGAAACAACGTTGACGTTGACTCTACTCGCTAACTTTTTAAGCTTGCTGTAGTGGTCGCGGAGGGCCACTATGAAAGGGGTGGGAAGAGGCGTGAAAGATACGACCAAGACAGCGCATCGGAAAGCCTGTAAAGATACTGAAAGGCTTACATTGCGTGGCGCGTGGGACGCGAGATGGTCGGTGGCAGGGGAGGGGACCAACCAGGCACACCGGTAAAGGAAGACACGTCAGGCCAGCTCAGAGTTTTGATCAAGACTGGTTATATTTACAATATGTACAAACATCCAGAGACAGCGCGCGCCACTGTCAGACACGTGGCGCCATCTCTTTTGGCGCCATCTAATTGACTTATGGCACACTACATCTTCTACTCCCATAATAGAAAATGAATGTTGGATAATTTGATATGGGACAGGGGAAAACAGCTTACGTTTTGAAGCAAATACAGAGTTCACGCACACAAAAATCCTACCAATCACTACTAGCAAAAAATAAAAACTATGCAGTGACGGGAGGGAATGTAAGGACGAAAGGAACTACACATAAGGGCGCAGTAATTACCGGGGACGCTTTGCTCTTTGTCGAGAAACATTCATTTAGACTGAAGTGTGCACCAAAAGCACTAGTCTTATAAAACAAAAATCTGCATGTCTGAATAACTGTAAATGTCAAATGTTCTACTCGTAGTGTGACTGGGTGAAAAAAAAAATCTAACACAGTCTCTCAATCGTTCCGGCAGGCGTCTCTGCTGCCTTAGGCGACGGTTATCCGACGGAGATGCCTGCGGAGTCTTACGGTTGGATGGCTCCGATCGATCGCGATCACTTGCTGTTGGTGATGATTCTAGCGTCACGTCAGGACTCTCTCCAAAGCCCTCTGTTAAAGTACGAGCCACCGGGGGTTTGTGAAGTGCTGCAACCCCTGGCCCCACGGAGCTCAGGGACTCCGCCGAGACCGTCGTCGTTGCAGAACTGGAAGATGAGAGCTCGCTTCGATAGCCGAATTCTAGCTCAGATCTACCTGAGGCGGTGCTTAGCATAGCACTGCTTTAAAGGGACCCTGCAAGGGCTTTTTACTGGTTTTTAGTTTGCACCGAACCTGGGCGTACTGAACGTAGTAACTTAGTGCAACTTTTCTTTTCTCGAAATTACCTTTATTTTAAAAGTTATAGGCAAATTAAAATTACAAAAGCAAGCAAAAAATAAGCTCCCTCATGACGTCCTTGGTTTCTTGAGAGTGGCCGTGAAGTAGAGGAGGGGTAGTCGCTTATCGAGCGCTCGCGGCTTCCGCACTCCGTGTCGACGGCACGAGAGGGCGCCACTAAACCATATTCTGGATAGGATG